ATGATGGATCAAACCCTGTTGTACTTCTTAAAACAGCTGGGACAACAGCATCTTCATTCCTCACACTTTCACATGTGACTTCCACGTGTTTAATATCTCTTCTCCTGGTGCCAACCTCCATTCTTCACTCCAATAATGCTACTGAAAGAAACCACGCAATCAATCATTTTTTTTCATTAATAGTCGCAATATATCCACCATATTAATGCAAAGTTCACTGTCTTGCTCCTTGCTGCTGCTGCTGCCGGATACTTGAGGAGTGATCATTAACCTGCATGTTACATTTTCAAACTGATTTAGCGCTCCTATAAAGTGATATTAGAGGGGAACTAAAAACATCAAGACCAATAATTGATTATCATTGTGGGATTATTACGTTCAACCAGAAAATTCTCAATATTAAAAGCATACAGCCAAAACCATATAACATAAATATTAAGGCAGTTAAAGGCACATGGGAAGCAAACCCTTATGCAATTGTAAGTGAAAATGCATTTCACGATGAGACAAGTGACATAGTCATCACAGATGTGCCACAGATAGATTATTCCAAGGAAGTGCTAAAATGAGCAACATATATACTCATGATTTTCTGAATGTGCAACCAAACAACTCAAAACATGCATTGCAAAATCCGCATCAATGATGCTTGAATTTCTACATCGAATAGTCTACACACCAAATGCAAGATGTTGTGCAATTTTGCTGCAAGAATTTCACTGTTGACTCGTTCATTTATGAATACCTTCACTGATTTTGTGCAGAATAAAGAGAAATAAGAAGGGAATGGTACAAGATTCGAATTTTAAAACTTGTAGATTATATGAGAATACCGTTTTGAAACACAAAGTCATTGATGGCTTCAGGATTTTAAACATAGACTAGTGATAGTAAGCTGAAAAATGCATTAATTGCTTCCAAAGGACTGGATGAAACAAAATTCCATTAAAAAAAAAAAAAAAAGCAGCCTGATATTGAGACCATTTATCAACAGGCATACAAACTTGAATGATAAATTTTAACAACTTAAGTGAGATCTCTGTGCTGGTCAAACCTCAGAAGCAACCTGAGAGTGAAAATACTAATGGCATGCTGAGTGACATGATTTGAAATCACCATGTTTCTCACACTTCAGAAGCAGTCAATATAACTTAACCGGCTTTCCAGTAAAATATGACTTCTAAAATGCTACCAATATTTTCGACTTGTTTAATTTGCTCATACTGAGATTATAATCCTCAAAATAAACTTGATGTGAGCTATGCTGATTAAGAGATGTAACCTTTTACATGATAGATAATCGAGGTCCACCATTAAGCAGGAATTCTCCAATGATGCCCCAAAAGATGTATATAGCCATCAAACATTAGGACCACGCAATTCAAGTATTTGGACCACCTTGAAACTGATAGAACTATGGTGGTCCGGTGCCTAAACATCCGAAAAGTGGTTTGCATTAGAAGCTAAACAGGATTCAGCACCACAGTCTATCTCAAACCTATCAATCAGCGCATATAAAGGTAAAATGTTCACTACAATCAGGCTCCAATAAGTAGTAGCATTTTAGAGGTGAAGTCAGACAAATGTCGCTTATTATTTATTTAATTTTTTTATTGCAGTTGCATCTGGTCCTAGAAAAGTTGTGTCTGATATAATTGAACTGTAATACTTGCCCTACGTAGTCATTTAAGACATAAAGAAGATAGAAAGTTTCGGAAATATAAGTCTACAGTTGTCAAACTAGCTAAGAAATACAGTAGGGACCTTTACTAATTACCAATAAATTATTTTGTATGGTGTGGCGCTATCAGCATCTACATATATCTCATGTGATGAACTTTACTACTTGTCAGATTCACAGTTCAATATTGCTCAATTTGTAAGAATGTCAACTGTCAAAAAATGAGCCAAAATCATAATATATTAATAGTGCCACATATATTAGTAGTGCATGCATCACAGCATCTAAAAGCATACCAAACAGAGATTTAACCTAGATTTTGTTAACAGCGATCGCCCAATTTCCCATTAATTTTTTTTCAACATAACTGAGACCTCCAACATTTTTGATGCATTGTAAATTGATCTTGCGAGCTAGTATCACATTATGATTCCCGGGAAGTCCTCTAATGATATGCTAACAACAATGTAGGAAGAAAATATTATTCATTCCAAAAAGAAGAAGAAATGCATAAGAGAATCATAGATTAACTAGCCTTCAATTAGAGCATGTATCAACAATCACACTGCATGAAGTGCTTCATAAAAACTGGAAATTTAATCCTCTGAACCCTGATCCTGTTCCGGGCTTCTACTGGTGTGCATTTCTCTGATCAATGATCCTCTGTGCACTAATGAACAAATAGTGTGCCTGTTGCTGTTAACTCAATGCCATAGTGATGGAATTACTTTAGAGTTGGCAGTTGCAGAGGAAGTCCAGGGGCCCAAAGACTTTACAGCGAATGATTTTGCAGGCTGAAGCCCAAATCCAGATGCAACAAGGCTTCAATTTGCTTCTATTGTGGGCTTCAATATGCCGAAACGTCAATAGTCAATATAAGATTCTCCTCATAACCTCCATGAGAAGGAGATAGGATTCTCACATGGCATAACACCCATTTTTTATTTATTCTCTCAGTCTTCCTTTCAGGCAGCTCTACTCTCCTGAAAATTCAATGTGCCTTCAGGGAAGAAGGGAGCATTGGGAACGAAAGTAGTGATAATGTGGAGCGTTATACATAAGTCAGCAAATGTCAAGGATAACACAGTATCAAACGAGACTGGATCTTGGACTCGGGCGGATCCGGCCCCTCCCTCATATTTTACAAAAAAAAATTACTAATATAGGGGCTCACAAAAATGTGTTATTAATATATATATTCAGACTTATTTTCAGATTTTTTGAAAATAAAAACTATTATACATATATCTAAGCTCACCAAAAAACTTGTTATTAATATATATAATCCAAACTCACATCATATTATAAGTTTATAATCCTCTCCACTCTTTTTTTCTACAGCTCTGCCTGTTTTTCATGATTTTATCTCTAGAATTATTTACTCTCTCATCCTCTTTTTCTTTTTCTCACGTTTTTTGCTCTTAAAACTTTTGAAGACTAAAATTATTGAAGCTTTCACTACTCAACGTGCCACAATTAGCTATGTTTTCTGTTTTATCAGTTTTAGGTATATATATTGTTTATTTCAATTTAGTTTATTTTAGGGTTGAATCATGCTTTTTTTTTGGAGGCTTTTTTATTCTAATTTAAGGGAAAATGACATGGATCTTATGAGTTAATTTTGTTTTTTATATCTAAGAATGTTCCTGCTTTCCTAAATTAAAACTTTAATTATATTTTAAAGGATAATATTCTTCACCATTCACCCACCACTTTCTTACATTTCAAACGTCACTATTCAGCTGCTCAAAATTATTAAAGAAATTTGAGTTATTATCTATGTTTATACCAAGAAAATTCTTTTTTTTTGTTTTTTAAATTAATTCATATTAAAAACCAACGCAATGTTGACTCGATTTAAGTTTTGGTTGACATTTACTTAAAATTTTGTTTTTCATAGATTTATTCAAGTAGGAAAGAGTAGGAAAATATTGTATTATTATATTCTTTTCTTTCGAGTTATTGATATTGTATTATTTTCTTTGCTTAAGGTTTGGTGATTTTTTAAAGTTTTTACTAATTATTTGACAAACAATGGTGGAATTGCAGAGGCCCCTCAGGCAAAAATCCTCAGTCGACCTCTGCTTAGATTGGTCAAGGATAAATTTGATTTGTATAAAAATGAATAGCATGGATAAGAATGAGAAGGAATAATACTCAAACCTCACTAATAGTAACAAGTTGTGTCAGGCATGGTTGTCAAATAGCGTATCGTATTGTGTATTAAAAACCTAATTTTTTTAATCGTGTATCGCGTATCATAAGATACGCCTTTAAAAATAATAATAATAATAATAAATAAAACAATAATTTTTTTTTTAAATTAATATCATTCCTAAGATTAATTAACAAATTTTGTGATATTATTGACTTTAAATTATGATATTTCATAATCAAAATTAGTCACAGAATGAAGAATCTATATCATTTTCTCTCAACCATTCATATCATTTCTAAGATTAATGTCAATATATATATATATATACTTGTGTTATTATTACCATACAAAATAGGCAATATATCTTCCTCTTCACTTTCTTCATACAAAATAGGTAAATTTGGATGGGTTTTAGTGAACCGGGTTGGGTGACCTAGATCCAACCTGTCCCGAAATTTTTTTTGGATCTTTAACTCAAAATAATAAAGTCGTATAAATTTATATTGATATTTTTAATGATACGAACCAATACGTATCATATTGTAAAATACATATCAATATATCGAAAGGTTTAAGATATACTTTGTGATATGTATCGTTGACGACCATATCGAATCGTATCATAAGATATGAATTACGTATCATAGGATATTAATAACCATGATGTCTAAGTATCAACCATTATTAATTACACCATGAAAAACCTTGTTTTAAACAGGACAAATTAACGACAAGAAGCTCCGTGCAACTGATGAGTTTATCAGAAGCGTCGTTGTCTTTCACATGAGATAAAACAGAGAGGTGAAATTAAAATTGATGATGTAAAGAAATTAGAGATATATTCAAAGTGGGTTTGGTTTTGATGGTGATTGAAGATGAAAGAATTCATGTGACGTAAGGGATTACGCATGCTACATTGCTACTGCATTCATCTTTTGTGTCTCATTGTACATCAATTCATTTGCTTTGGTCCCATTTGCAGAAAATTGGAAGACGTCAAGAAGCGTCATGGTCATGCTACTGCTCTATCTATGAATAATGGCTTTCTTACATAGGTAAGTTGAACTTCTTTTCCAGAAAATGGCCCATTTTTATTATTGAGTATATGAATTGGCAACGTTTTGTAATCATTAAAAAAAAAAAAATTAACTGGAATGATTTGTTAGGAACTTTTTGATTGTATTATTTAAAAGGTTTCTTTTCCGAAGCTAATAAGGATAATTACTAGAATAGCTGCAAATCACCATTTCTTTACAAAAGGGCCCTCGGCACATTTCAGATGAGAAGGGGTAGTCATGGTCTGCATTGTAATTTAAAAGTCAATTATTTTGTTGCTGAATTGTAGTGGTAGAGTTTGTTATTCTTTTTCTTTGAGAATCATCTGTACAGAAGATATATATAGGCTGTTTTTGTACTGGTTTACACACACAAATACAAATATACTCAATTGAGTAATTCTTCAGCCAAACACTGTTTTTTTCCTCCTTTGCCGAAGATTTTGTTGTGCTCTGTTTTCAACTGTAATAAGCAAGCCAGACTGCCAGAGAGAATGTTAGGTTTCGGTGTAACTACGGTGATGGTGGCAGTGGAGTTCTTGGAAGTGGGGTTAAGTACTCTTACTAAAGCTGCCATTAACAAAGGCATGAGTGATTTTGTGTTTATTGTCTACACTAATGCCTTTGCAGCTTCTTTTATTCTCCTTCCATCTACTCTTCTCTATTACAGGTAACTAATTCACTCCCACTACCACTCATTTATTCAACAAAGTTCTACGGAGATTGATGGAGCTTCGTATTTTCTTTTACACTACAGGAAAAGAAGTCGCCCTCTACTCACTGTCTCCATCGTTTCTAGAATCTTTCTTCTTGGGCTAATTGGGTACCTTTTCTTAATCAATTAAGATCAATTGCAAGAAAATTTTCCTACTTCTTTAGTTTATTTGGTGGGTTTGTAGTTGTTGTGTGCAGACTTTTATGATTACAGGGATAGGGTTTAGCTCTCCAACTTTGTCCTCTGCCATTACTAATCTCACCCCTGCATTCACATTCATACTTGCCATAATTTCCAGGTCAGTTTCTTCTCTGTTTTATCGTTTCCGGGCTGGCATTTTGGATATTTCCGCCAAAAGAATTTTCAAACTTAGAATTTGACAAGTCCTTTTTAGTTTGACTGCAACTGAAGTAAATTTTAGGTTTTGTTTATCTTATGAGAAAGTGAAGTAAATTTTAGGTTTGGTTTTCTGTTGAGTAAGAAGATAGAGCTAGAATTACTTATAATTGAACAATAATGTACGTGATTTCTCTGGAGGTCCTTTGTTTTTCATCAATCCTAGATAACATTCTCGAACAATTTGGCAATGAGGGAGATTTATGAATGAATCTTCAAACTATTACTTTGTAATTTGAAATCCTTTGAACTCTAATAGTTTAATCTGAAAGTTCATTATGATCTTATGGTGTGCCTTCAGAATGGAAAAGCTAAACTTGAAACTTCAAAGCAGTCTAGCCAAATCTATTGGCACTATGGTATCTATTGCGGGGGCATTAACTGTGACTTTATTTAAGGGCCCAGAAGTTGTAACTACTTCATCTCCATACAATTTACGCGATGAAATTTTGTTGGCGCATACAAATTGGTTGATTGGAGGTCTTCTCCTTACAGCTGGTAGCTTTTCCCTGTCGCTATTGTACATCGTTCAGGTAATATTGATCAGAAACATGCAGAGTAGCTGTCAGGCCACCGCTAGACACATGTTACCCATCGTAATTCTGAACTGAACAAGAACTCTTTTTGCATTTCCAGACCTCCATTGTTAAGGACTACCCTGAAGAGCTGATGGTAACATTCATTTGTTGTGTCTTTGTGACCCTTCAATCTGCTATACTCGCTCTAATTTTAGAGGGTGACCCAAATGCTTGGAGACTAAAGCCAGGCATGGAGTTGATGGCCATCCTGTACTCTGTAAGTGCAGAGATTAGTTTATGGTTATTAATTTCTAAGAATTATGGTGCTGTTGTAGTTATTTTAAATATTTTAATAACTTGAGCTGCTATTTGATATCCAGGCAGTTTTTGCTGTAGCACTTCGAACTCTTGTTCACACATGGGCATGTCACAAGAAGGGACCTGTCTATGTTTCCATGTTTAAACCACTTGGAATAGTCATTGCAATGGTAATGGGAGTTACTTTTCTTGGAGACACTCTTTATGTTGGAAGGTGCAGCTCTCTACCTGATATTTTCATATGGTTGTGTAATTATACAACTCGAGACTACATTTATTCTTTTAGTGTTTATTATCATGAACTTCTTTGAATTAGCTAAACCACATGCACTCGACTGCAACCAACTTCAAGAATGATTTCTATTTGCCATCACATGGTTCCTACATATATAGTTGAATGATAATAACTATACTACAGTTCCTCTTGGTTCAGTCATGTTCTAAACTATAAAATGGTTCAACCTTTATTTCTGTGCAGTGTTGTCGGAGCAGTTATTATTGCTTTTGGGTTTTATTCTGTGATGTGGGGCCAAACCCGAGAAGAAAAGATGGCTGATTACGAAGGAATGGACAGCTTGAGGCCCTCTTCACCCAAAATCCCTCTCCTTCAAAACAGTAGCATGGAAGCATAACAGTTTCGCATAGACCTAATGACAGATTATTTCGTTGCACAATAATTTCTAGGTCAATGCAATCAAGAAAGTATGTAAACTTATATAATAAACTTGTGTTCAGAAATTATTGTCATCTTTATTGAGATAGTTGTTTAATTAACTTAAAACTGGCAGATGACGTCGGTATCTGTATAGCTAGGAAAGAAGCTGATACGCTTGATAAAAATGTTCCGCATATATTAGGAGTTAATTTAATTTGTGCTGGATATTAACTTGTTTGTTTGTTTGTTCAAGGGTATATATTCTTAGAGTAAAAAAACACATATATTTTAGAGCAAACGACATATTCCCACCCAAGTTTAAATCTCAAGTTGATACGTTTAATTGCATCTTTAAAGTAACACCGTTTCCTTTATTTTAACAGATCCTAACTTTTTATTGTAGTGCGACGTACGTTAGTATGCTAAAATGTGCCAGAGTTTTCTTTGGTAGAAAATAGTCTCATTTTAGCTTTTCCGACCAATTCTGAAATCCAAATTCACTTTCGAGACCACCGTTGGACTCCGCACAATTTCTATATAAAATACATACCTTCACTTGCCAATTTCACTCACCATTTTTTATTACCTTCAATAATCACTGATGATATTAGTTTAAAAGTGAGAATTTAAAATAAATGCAATTAGAGGCATCAACTTGAAATTTTGCTTAACCTCATGTGCGAATACGTCGTTTACTCTATATTTTATATTATATTATCATATCATGTAACACATGTTAATATTTTCATTTGAAAGGACCCGGTTAGTTGGTTAGATTATAAGATACGTAGTCACACTCACAACAAACTTTTAACTATTTTATTCAGAGATGCTCGGAAACACTAGTCATAAATCATAACCAGAGAGAACAACTTGACTCAAGCAAAGAGCAGAAATAAGATTTTTTTGCATTAGTATTTGGTGGATGCAATAATTCACTATTAAACAATTGATCTCCTCAACACAAATGGCAAAGATAGATGTTTGAACATATGTACCTTTACTCTATTTAGCAACTGAATGAGTCTGTGTATAAGAAGTGAAAACAAAACTGTAGAATTCTGCAAAGAAGGGAAGGGAGATAGAAGATGTTGGGCGTTGGAGTAACGGCAGTGATGGTGGTAATGGAGTGCTTGGCCGTGGGCTTGGTTACTCTTACCAAAGCGGCTATGAACAAAGGCATGTGTAACTATGTCTATGTTGTTTACTCTACTGGTTTTGGAACCACCTTTATCCTTCTTCCAGCTACTTTCATCTATTACAGGTACATTCTCACTCACTAACACTAATTGATTCAAAAAAATAGCAAGACTTTATTTTCTTTTACTCTACAGGAAAAGAGGCTGCCGTCCACTCACAGCATCAATCATTTGCAGAATCTTTTTTCTTGCACTGATCGGGTACCTTTTATTTTTATTTTTCTTATTACTCAATTGAGATAGGAAAACGTGTACTAGTGGTGATTAATTTCTTTGGGTTAAATTTTTGGTGGGTTTGTAGATCTTGTCTGCAGATATGTTCTTTTGCAGGTATACGATATAGCTCACCAGTTTTGGGAGCAGTAATTGCTGATCTCACCCCAGCTTTTGCATTCTGTTATGCCTGAAAAATATAGGGCTGACATGGGGCCTAGTCAGCGTGCAAAAGTCAGAACATGGGTACACCCACAGCCTGCTTCTGTCAGAATAGTGGGTGCACGCCAGACCAGCCAGAAGCTGTGGTGATCCCACGTGTTCAATTCATGCACCAAATCGCGCAAATCACTCGAGAAGGTGGGCAATGTGACATAAAGAAGGATTTGCACGGATAATCCCACCAACTCACAGATCCAGTAATCATTAGCTCAATGCATCCCACTATAAATGGAGAGCTCATCTCTCATTCAGGGGATTCGCTCATTTTACTCTTGATTAGCTATTCTCTCTGTAATAAAAAGCATTCACTCACTTGTACTATCACTTGAAGGTCAGTCAGCTCATGCGACCTGACCTCTATCATTAATAAAATAATAGTGGACGTAGGATTTGCTTCTTTAGCATCCGAACCACTTTAAAAACGCTTTTCTCATTGCATTTATCCTCTTTTCCTTATATTCACGTGTGTCTTCTAAGCCAACTCTGCATTTCACACTTGCATTTCATAGGTGTAAAAATCATGCATCAACAGTTTGACGCTAGAAGGAGGGCTTGATTTAGTGTTCATCCTTCATCAGGAGAATCTCTAACTTACCGGCCCTAAAACAGCAAATGGCCCACCAACCTGAACTTGAGCGAACCAACCAGGGTGTTGAGGGGATCCCCTAAGTCCAGGGGGACACCTCTTCCAAAATACCTTCAGTCCCGCAAAATGCTGAAGGGGATATCCCATCAAGTTTATAGCTTGACCCTGTCATTAGAAGCTACCTATAGAGGTTCGACAATACTCTCCAGACGGTCAGCTAAAGGTTGGACCGTTTGGACCAAGGTGTGCCAATCAAATTAGCTAGGGCGGTGCAACCGCTAAAAATGCCTGAAGGTAGCGCAAAAGCGTGGCAAAGGGAAATAGCTCATGCCGCGAGCACTGCAGCGTGTCGACTAAAGGGTAAGCAAGTGGCAAAAAAGGGACTTACGGGCTCCAAAGGGCCAGCGAACTCCGACCACGTCCCGAGCAGAATACCAGTCTCGTTGAGACTCGGTGAAAGGACGCAGCCCGAGTTGTCCCATGCCATGTCGCAAGTACACCCCCGTAAAAGTGCTAGGCGGGGCGATTCTTATCACCGCCAGCAAAACGATCCTGATCGTCACCGTGCGAAAGGGTCCCATACTTTGCGGGGCGGTTCTTACCACCGCGAAGGTCGTGAAAATACCCCGCACCATCCAGATCGTCACCATATGAAAGGGTCCCACACTTCGTAGAGCAGTTCTTACCACCACGAAGGTCGTGAAAATACTCCGCACCATTCATCGCCTTCACACGGCTCTAGCCAACGTGTATCAAGAGTGGCCGGAACCACCGGCTGAGGCGAAAAGGAACCCGACCTCCGAATTTTCCTCGACCGTAATCGCGAGGGTCGAACTCGCATGGGTGAAAGCAATCCCCAAGTGGCTCCATTGCCACAAATTGAGGAGCTGCAGCGAGCTCTAGACCGACTACAGCTCAGCAAAATGAGTAAGGGCAAGTCGCGTCCACGTCCCCCTTCTCTCACGAAGTGCTAGTCGCTCCACTCCCGCCAGGATTCAGGATGCCTAACATGTGGGCGTTCGATGGAAATTCTGATCTGTAGGACCATTTATATGAATTCAACGACCTGATGGAGCTTCACCAGGTCTCAGATCGAGCAAAGTGCCGTTGTTTGGCAGTGACTTTAACTTTTCATGCCAAATGGTGGTTTAGGTCACTCCCAGCGGGATCGATCAGTTCGTGGCCTCAGATGAGTGCGACATTCCTAAGGCACTTTCAAGCGAACAGAAAGTTCTCAATGCCATTAAGCTACCTCAGTAATATAAGGCAAGAAAGGGATGAATCCCTCCAATCCTACATCGACCGTTTCCACAGAGAACTCAACAAGATGGCTCATACTCCCAAAGTGTCTGTTCAGACTCTCATCATAGTAGGAGTTCGTCTGCAAACCGACATGTGGAGAGAATTATAGGCTGAGGACGATGTTTCCCTCACAGAATTCTATAACCTTGCGGAGAAATACCTCCAGATTGAAAATTCATTGGTGGCGCTCCCCCGTCACGACTTTGGCGCTTCAGGCAGTACGTCTAGTCGGGGGGAAAGTAGAAGAGTTGATCGCGGAAGGGCCGCTGATGATCAGCGAAAAGGAAAGAAACCTCGCTACGAGCCCAAAGAGTCCTATGCTCCTGTCCCTCGTCGCGATCGTGACAGAGATCAATATACACCTCTAAATGCATCTGTATCGACTATTCTTGACAAATCAGAAGAAGCCAGCCTACTCAGAGAGCCCGAGCCCATGTAAACTCCCGCGTCAGCAAGAAAAAATAAAAAGTACTGTCGTTTCCATCGGGATAACGGGCATCGCACAGATGAGTGTCGAGCTCTCAAACAGGCAATCGAATAACTCATTCAGAAGGGGCATTTCAAGGAATATATTGACAACTCTACTCCTTCGCAAGAGAAAAGTCAAAGGGAACAAGGGAAGAAGCGTTGTGATCGCACAGGATACAGCAGTGTCACATGATCTTTGGAGGATGCGGGGGACACGCAAGGTGTCCAAGAAAGGTATGCTCGCACGGCTCATCATGACCCGATCAGTGTGATAAGCACGTTGCAGTGACCGCAAAAGGTTCACAAGAAGGAGCGGAGTCGAATGCTAAGAATTGGGAGCATTCTCAACTCACTTCCGAGCTAATCAGCTTCCTCAAGGAAAATATCGATGTGTTCACCTGGTCACATGCAGATATGACCGGGATCAACCCAGATATCATCTACCATACGCTGAACATTGACAACGAAGCCAAGCCAGTTCGCCAAAAAAGAAGAGCGGTGGATCAGGAGCGATATGCCGCCTTAAAGCTAGAGGTGGATAACCTCCTCCGAAACGGGTTCGTCTGAGAGGCACTCTACCCGACCTGGGTTACCAACTCGGTTCTGGTGAAGAAGCCCAATGAAAAGTGGTGAAACTGTGTCAACTTCAGCGACCTTAACAAAGCATGCCCTAAAGATAGCTTCCCCCTGCCAAGAATCGACTAGCTCGTGGATACCACATCGCGGCACAAGCTGCTAAGTTTCATGGACGCGTGCTCGGGATATAATCAAATTCTGATGTACACGTCGGACGAAGAGCATACATCCTTTATTACAAATCGAGGACTTGTATAATGAAGCCGACAACGAAGCGCTTATGAGAGAAAGTCTAGACCTTATTAAACAACATCGCAGCAACGCTTCGCTAAGAATAGCAGCCTATCAGCAATGCGTGAAGAGGTTCTTCGATTCTAAGGTCAAACAAAAAGACTTCCAGGTCGACGACCTTGTATTAAAGGAAGTTCTCCTCAGTACTAGAGAACCAAGTGCGGAGTGTTGGGACCGAACTAGGAAAGTCCATACTGCATCGACAAAGTGATAAGACTGGGGACTTATCATCTAAAAAGGCTGAATGATTCCAAAGTACCCCGAGCTTAGAATGTTGAGCACTTTCGACCATACTATCAGTAATTCCGAACTCAGCTTTCCTTGTAAATTAATTTTTGATCCTTGTTATTTCCCTATAAAGTATTATTCTGTTCGCTTGTACCAGTCTTCGC